ATTATGATGGTTACATGCTTTTAATCTCATTTTGACAGATTATTGGTTATTTTCAATGTCACAGATTAACTACCAAACTTCTGATCAGTCACAAACATTCATATGAGAAGCTCTGAGAAGAGCTGTCACAGAGGCACAGGAAGAGTTTTGCTGATTTGATGTTGATTGTTGATTTGTGATGTACTCTATTCCCCTCACGGTCATAAAACTGTCAAGTGATGAGAGTGAAACATATGAATCATAATTTACTGTAGCTGGGAATAATTTCTCTTAAACTGTTAACACAACAACTTAAATCTTTCCACTTTTAACTGTGGACCACTGGAGTCTCTCTCTGTGGAGGTCCTGCTTGGACATACTGGTTTAAATAACTCAGTCTCCACTGAGTTTAATCAAAACTGCAGCTACTCTGGAAATGAAAGCAGATTTACAGAATTACATCCAGTTTTTTATTTTTATTTTTAATATAATTTGTGAAGTAATCAAAGACTTGTTCAGCTTCTTGTTTCTCCAACTGCATGAATTTGCAATAAATGAGTCAAATCTGCAGGGAGTCTGGAGTTCTTTTTTCTTTTTTTTTTTTTTAGATAACCATACTACAAGTTTCATATAGTTCATATTCATCAATAATATCATCATCCTAATTTTCCATGTTGTAATTTTACTCTTATTATTCCAGTGTCTGACACATGACAGCCATTGTTCTTCACGGGGTTACTTCATTTCTTTCTCCCACTCGAAGGACAGAGGGCTGTACGGATAGAAAAGCCCTTTGAGGGAAATAAGTGTGACACTGTTCACTGTGTTCACACCAAACATTTTTTATAAAATTAAACATTGTCTTGTGTTTTAGGATGCATCTTAAAAAGAAATGCTTGATACGTTCAGTATCAACACTTTTGCAAATTGGAAAATATAGTACATTAATTTAAAAAGATTTCCTCATTATGTTAGTAGAAAATGTAATTGTCATCACATTTCATTGCTGAAAATGATTTGTTTATAAACATGATTTCAGGGGCATGATGGGACACATGCTGATGCTGTTGTTCTTCTTGGGAGGAACGACGGCCTCGCCGCCTTGTATGCCACCTGCACTCCATTTAAATGTGTTTCACTCCCTTAAAGTTGCAGGACCGAACGGAGTGGCTCCCTCTTCACTCATCACTAGTGTTTTTTCACTGAACCTAATCAGTCTTATTTGGGTTTTTAGCTCTGCCCACTGAAGTTTTCCTTCTTGTGAGTAATTACTTTATTTTACTCAAGTTTATTTTACTCTAATTGGTTTTTCATATGCTGTTGTTTTTGACTAAACTCTGCTTATGCAAGTCCTCTGAACATACTTGACTTTTGATTCCTTTGTGCCTTTGAGGAATCAGTTTATCTCACTTCCAGGGAAGGGCAGAGCTTTGTGTCCCTCTTACCCCAAATGCTTAAACTCCTTTTACACCAAAAGCCTTTACATCTGTGTGACAGCACAAAAATATTGCTGTCATTTTTTCTGTTCACTGAGCAGCATTAGCGCTGCTGCTCACGTGGGATCATATGCAGTTTCAAGTGTGTCTCAAATGACCACCTGTGTTTGGATCTCACTTCCCTTTTGGGTTTATTAGAGCAGTACAATACAATGCATTACAAACACTACAGTGTTGAATAGCTGGTCCTTTAATGTTGGAGAAATTTGTGCTCACGCTGCTGGTCACTTGTAGTGCTTTATTATGCTTATTTTGAAATACTTGGGGGAATATGATAATGATCTCAACATCATCATTTCTTTATTTATTTTCTCTTTTCTGAATCACTTGTGTTATACTATATTTGGTTTAACCTCCAAATGGCTCCTACTGACTCCCACTTTCCATGACAGTTTCATTGTTTTCCCAGACGTACGCAGAAACAGACAACAACCAGTCAACTGATCATCTTAGATGATCAGTTGAATAATCAAAAGGAAGAGCAGATTAATCAAAAGTTGACAATTAATGGGCAGCAACTTTGATAGGTGATTAATTGTTTAAGTAACTTAAATAAAATAAACTTGTACCTGCTACCCAATTCTCAAATGTGAATATTTGCTATTTTCCAAGTTTTCTATGTTAAACTCAACATGCTTGGGTTTGAGACAACAAAAGAAATTTGAATATGTTAACTTTTTGGGCACTATTCACTGTTTTCTGACATTTTGTTCACTAATTTCGATTGATGATTAAAGAAAATAAGTGTCAGCTACTGATAATGAAAGCCTCACAGTACTTCTGTGGTGCAAAGCCACCTTGTCTGAGGGTTTTTTGTGTTTGATTAAACAGAACTTTACAAAAAAGGAGGTTAATATAAATTAAACAGTTAAGGTCTTAAAACTACATTTTCACAGGGTCCCTCTAAAAATGTATATTTGAATGATGATGTGTTCACAACTTCTTTCTGCCCTCAATGGGCTAAAATAATCCATTATTGTAGGTTTAAAGTCCCCCTCGACTCAAAAAAAAAAATTTAATTGCCGCTTCTAATGGATGTTTGACGTTCATTGTACAGAACAATGTGTGTTCAGAGAGCTATATTTAAATTCATCCGCTGAAAGTGAAAAGTTTCTCTGTGCTCACCTGAAATCTGAGTTTAAAGGGTGTACCACCGAGCATGATTTGTGATGTCACAACTAGTGAGGAAGCCAGTCCTGGTTCAACCGGCAACTCAAACAAGTGTGATGTGGTGTTTTGGAGTTGGGTTGGTGAGGGTTGAAAGCTGATTGTGATTGGCCAGTGAACCCAATCCTTTTTTATGGTTCACTGATGCAGATTTATCCTTGTATCGCCAATGGTCAGTCCAACACCAGGATAGCACTGTAGGCCAAAACAAGTGGCTGAATTATGACAGTGGCCTTTGAGTATCTTTAGGATTTGGTCTGCTAGTTGAACCAACAAATAGAAGATTTGAAGATTTCAGTTTGGGCAATGGAAAATTGTGATGGACATTCTTAATTATCTTTTGACATTTAGGAGACTAAACGATTACTCAATAATGAAAATAATCTTTGGTTTTCTTGAGCAATGGATCGCAGCCCATCTCTCAGTGAATGGTTTGGTTGCACTAACACATGTATTCAGAGCTGTACTGACATCACCCAATTGGGAACAGGGCTGAAGTAACCACTAACGATACAGTGTTTTACGGGAAGTAAATGTAATGTTATTGTTATATAAAATGTGATAAAAAATAAAAAAAAGTTTTGTGTAAATATTTTAGCATTTATTGTTTTTAGAATAGTGGGTGAAAAAGTCTTCTGGTTGTGATGTCAAGTGCTGATTCATCTGTTAGGATGAGGGTAGAGATAGGTATAACGACCTTTTAAGGGTATATTGTATTGAGTTCTGTTTTGCAGCTTAGTCATATAGTATGCACCTACAATTTTATAGCTGCTGCCCACTGCAGAAACCACAGACATAGATAATACACTTTAAGTGCATTTTCTCTAAATGAATTACCTTTATGACATTCAAGAAGCTATAAACCAAAAGAGGTACGTCTTGTACATTCCATGATTCACCTTAAGGACATGTTGGAGTTTCCGAGCTTTGGCATCGCTTAAGTGGTTTATTTTTTTTAGACTCTGCCAGCTCTCCTTTGTCTGCAGCAGAGATGAGCAGCAGCGGTTTACCTCTCAGAGAGGTGTTGTATTTTGTCTTTTAAGGTTGGCTGCAGACTGAGACCCCTCTCCGCTTCTCCTCACTGTAAACATAAGTCACGCTGTAATGAATGTGTGATGGCTGGAGAGTCGGAGCAGACTAAGTGCACTGACGTCCCCTGTGTTCTCGTTGTCCATCAGCCCTCTGTTGTTCCTCACAACCATTTACAGTCATCTCTGTTTGGGACAAAGCTGTGTGCTGCACTGACGAAAATACCAACCGCAGCAGCATACTGGAACACAATCACGGTCTCTTGTTTCATCCAATCATACATTCATGTGTTTAATTAAATTTTCCGCAACTTCATCGTAAATTCAGTCTCAGAATCAAAACTAGAGGTAAACTAAAAGTGATGCAGTTCTGTAATTCATGTGTTTTGATGATGTTGTTCATCAGTTGCTGTCATCACTGGTTTTAGTACCGTGTGGGGAACGTGCCAATTATTAAATCAAATATGACATACAATTTACAATTGTATTTATAAATTACAATACAAGTAACAGAAATCCCTTTGCTTCAGACGCTATGAAAAGTTTTCAAAAGAACAACGTGAGAAACCTGCACAATAGAGGGAAACATGTTTGAGTGTAACATCGATTTCATCTAACTTTTCAATTCATGTGCACATGCTCAATTTGATGGATGATTTCTACAATTATTGATGTTACACAGGGGTTGAAACAAATCATTCAATTATTTCTTGGAGAATTTTGACCTTTGTTCACCATTGCATGTTAAAGCTGGTCACACACTTTAAAAGTGAGACATGGACTCAGCAGCAGTGACTGTTGGAGGTGTAGATATTTGCATGTAAACAACTGTGAGTAAATAAATACTTTAGAGGCTTTGACTGCAAGAATTCTGGCTCTGTGAAAACCGGACTCGCTGCACAATTCACAAACATTATGAGGAGACACTTTGACACATAAACAAGATCAACAGCTGCACAGCATTAAACAGAGGTTAAATGTTTAAAGCTAACACTGTTGTTGGATGAAAGACTACATTTTACTTGATGAAATTTACATAAGCTTTTCTATCCTTTTATAAGAGGCTGGTAATGGTTAATGGAGCATTTCTAATTCTTTATTGATCGGTTATAAGCCATTAGTAAAGAACAGATTTTGAAGTCCTTTTCCAAGTGTTTATCATTTTTGTTTGGCAGTAATGCAGCTATAAATGTTGGTAATCTATTAATAACATGATAATCAATCAATTTTAGTCCAGCTACTTTGCAGTTATTTTCCAGTTACAAAGTACAATGAGTAAAAGGGATTTTTCACAATTTAAAAAACCAAACCTTGTCAGTATTACTGCCTTATAAATGCATTAGATTTATTAGGATGTTAATCACAACTTGCAATCATTTATTAAGAAACTATCATTTTTTATCACCTTAGCAGTGACCATGTCAAAGCTTTCTGAATGCAAACTGAGTGAGCTGTGCAGGACTAACTGTTGCATTTGCCTCAAACCTCCCTGCGCCCACATATGACTCATGTGTAACTGGGTGAGAAAAGTCTGCTGAAGTCTCTTCAGCCTCGCTCTTTACTCACCAGCCCTTCAATTTGACCTCCTTAAGAGCTGCCGCAAACTATGCAAAGCTGTGATGACGCCAACACCGGCAGATGAGACATGAAGCGGAAATTGAAAGAGAGAATTGTCTATTTTCCTTTTCGTCTGTCGCGTTCATCCCATCCATCCTGTCGTGGTTCAGCATATTTAGAAACATCCCACCTCTTGGCTCACAGCTGCGCGCAACATCCCTCGTGGTTAACTAGCATCTGGGTTACTGGAAAGCATGAGGGGATGGGACTACCAGAGAAAATGTCCATGCTGACTCCTTATCTTACATTGCAGGGAGTTAAAGAGGAAATGCGCTCCCAAATTCACAACAGACCAAAGGAGATATCGCTGATAAACGCCAGCCTGTGGGTGCATGTGGCGATGGAGAGCCCAAACTTTACGCACGGATCTGTCTCCGTTAACGAAACTATGCCTCTGCATTCACAAGCGGCCAGCGTCCAGACAGCAATCGCTTTACCTATTTTCATGTTTGCTGGGGGCGCCATTGGGAATTTGATTGCAATAATCGTCCTTTCAGTATCGAGACAGGAGAGAAAATCCTCCGCTTTCTACACGCTGGTGTGCGGTCTGGCGGTGACGGACTTGCTGGGCACCTGTCTGGCCAGCCCGCTTACTATAGCCAACTACCTGGACCAGAAGGTGCTGAAAAACGAACACGTCTGCGAGTTTCAATCGTTTTTGTTGCTGTTCTTCGGTTTAACAGGTCTGAGCATTATATGCGCCATGGCAGCAGAGCGCTACCTGGCAATTTGCTGCCCCTACACCTACCAGCGGTGGGGGGTGGACAGACGCTTTGCGCAAAAGTTCCTCTTCTTCATTTACATCAGTCACATTTTCTTCTGCTGCCTCCCGATGATGGGCATGGCGGGGAGCTTGTTGCAGTCGTCCAGCACCTGGTGCTTCATCGACTGGAAGACGCACAAGCCGCTGGCCGCCGCTTACTCCGTGCTGTACGGCGTCGTCAGCCTGCTGCTCATCCTGGGGACCATCGTGTTGAACTTGGCGGTGTGCGGAGCGCTGCTGCTGATGCGGCAGAGGACGGTGCAGCGGCCCGTCACCAGAGCCAGCGTCCGGGAGAGGTGGAGGGCTCTGTCCTCGGCCGCAGAGACGCAGATGATGGCGGTGCTGGTGATGACCTCCGCGGTGGTCCTGGCCTGTTCAGCCCCGCTGGTGGTGAGTCAAGTAGAAATTCATTAAACTAACTGTTTGCATTAGCTGTCGGTGCAGTTGCACATCCCATTAACTTCAAATGGAGCAGCAGCAGCAGCAACTATTAATGAAGTCGAACTAGCCTACTAACTTTAGCTGTCAGATAGTCTACATGTAACGGAGAAGTAGTAACAATGATAAGTAGTAAAGGCATAAAAACTGGCATTAAAAAGCAAAACTGTACTGTAGCCAACAGAGCATATTATCATAGTAGCGTATATTATTTATCATTAGTGCTGTATCATTAACAGAAACAAAGACTGTTATCACTTCACCTTCATTACACCAATTTTTCCTTCAGTCCATCAGGAAAATGTCCGTTAATAACCCAGAGAAAAAAAACATGGCATGAACCTAACTATAAATAACTGATGAAAACTGCCAAAAATGTCCGAGCAGAGTTATGACATTTTATCTACATTGCGTGTCTGTGTTAGCCAACATGAGTTTAAAGTTTTGACTTAGATGTATTTTATATTCATCTAATAAGCTCTCCATATGGTTGTGATACAGGGAATTACAGTTTGCAATGTAATTTTATGTAGTCCATTGGTTCCCTACCTGGGGGTCAGGGCCCTCCAAAGGGGCCATGATATGAAGCTGATGTTTAACAGGATAGGAGAGATTTAAAAACACATTTCTTCTACTGTAAATTGTGTTTATTTTCTGGGTTTTGTCCATTGATTCAAATTTCCTGATATATAATTGATAGTTTTGCTTATTCAACTATTCAAATAAACCAGTTTGAGAAGGAAAAATCTTGTTTTTCTCTTAACTTCATACAATTCATAGACATTAAAACTCTGAGGAGGGATCATATAGTTCATTAACTGATGGGTTGATAGACAGAAATGAATTGGTATCTAATTTGATATCAAGCAAAAATGTCAAACTTTCTTCAGTTCATCTCCGGCTTTAGGAAAATTGTATTGGGCATTTTTCACAATGTTTTTTTTTTTTACATTTTATAGACTAAACAATTAACCCATTAATCAAAAAAAAAAAATCTGTAGATAAATTGATAATAAAGCCCTAAGAAATAATATATTTCTTACTAAGTTAATTTGAATTGGAAAACCTCAAACTTGATAAATAAAAGGAGATATTCCCGTATACATCTCACCACATGTTAAAACTCTTATTTACAGTCTGATGATCTGAACTGTAGTAACTGTAGTTTTCCTCCTTTAGGTCCGTGTGTTTGCCAACTGCTTCATGTTAAAAAACGACCCCAGAGCTGACTTGGCTGCCATCAGGATAGCCTCTGTTAACCCCATCCTCGACCCCTGGATCTACATCCTCCTCAGGAGGTCTCTGTTTCGACGATTACTCAGCTTATCGAGGCGAAGCAGCAGCACTCGCAGTAGTTCCTCCTCTACACCACAAAGGAATCTGTTTTATCCTGATATCATGAAGGACAGCCACGTGTTCACCCAGCTGATGTGCAGCGTAAACATCATCACTCAGCTGCCTGCTACTGTCAAATTCACTCCATGTGACACGGAGAGCCTCAACCAGACTTAAAACACTGCAGGCTGAAGACAAGTTTGATGAATGTTTGCTGCTTGATGCAGCGTCACAGACTCTGTTTCAGAGCTGTCATCTGTGAGATGGAAAGACGGTGACGAGCTTGTGGCCCACAGTTGGGCCGAGCTCCTGGAGGATCATTTATTGAATAAAAGTGGAGGCCTGCTCTGATATCATGTATGGAGACACATGAAGCACACGGGACTTACGGAGGTGCAACAATAAGACATGACTGAGCCTGTATTCTGTAACTTTGACTGTCATCCACCCTCTCCTTGTCCACTCAGTGCTCCGCCCTCCTCCTTACCATCACATCCAGATGATGTTGCACTTTTCGCCATTCTTTCTCCCCTCACTTCCAGCTCCTCCGTCCACATCATTAGTCCGTCCATCAGTTGGATGCTCCAGGGATACACAGCTCCTGCAGGTAGATGAATAGCTTATTTCATCTAGAGACAATTTTCAATTGACCTGTGAGTCATGGAAGGTGCAGTATTAAAAGTCACGTCTTCATATAGCAGTGCACAGACATTGCAGGAAAACGTGGGTGAGACCCATCACAGCTGTTTTTATGAGACACCTGACGTGGCTTTGGGGAGCTCCTCAGGAGGTATTTTTGCATTCGGAGAGACACTGATATGAGCTTAATAAAGCACTGACTATGTGCTGCTGACGTCTGTTTGTATTAAAGATTCTTGTTTGCAGTAAAACTGAGCCTGAGCTTGTCTTTAATCTCTATCACTTAGCAAACAAGTAAGTTGGTCTTTAGCCGCTTTGGACCTGATCTGGACTCGGGCTAACTACTAAATGACTACATTACAGTCGATGCAGATGAAGATGCGTCTACATCAATATCACAAGAAAATATTTATTTCCTAATAATTTCTTGAAAGTTCCCTGGAAAGAATGTATGTGGAATGTATTTTGGTACAAAGTACAAAGTTCAGAGAATGTTATTGAGTTCAGATCAGATCAAATCAGTGAGTTAAGTTTATTATAAATTTCCATAAATGAAATTGCTCGATTTAAACTCCAATAAACTCATTCATGTAGTATTAAAAACTTTACTCTTCATTTGTGTTGAGATGCTTTTTTAGAACCATGCACATTTTGCATGTTAACCTGAATGTTGACTGACCAACCGATCACTCTCTATTTGACCTCTAACTATATTATTCAGATCATATGTTTCTTTCCAGGAAACTTCTAAGGAGATTATTTGAAAATAAATTGGAATTTACAGTAATTTGGACTTTTGTGCAGGAACAAATACCTAAGTGCGACATGGTCGTGATCAAACTAATAAGAATCTCTGCCGTCTACTGTCCAGTTTCTCCATTTCATCAGTACTATTCAGTCTATGACAGATTTAAGTCTGTTGTTCCTGGTTGTGTAAAGGGTCAGCATTGTTTGGTTTTCAGTTGTAGTTCTACCTCAGGCTAATGTTCCCACTGCATATTTTAAGAAGTAAGTAATGACCCATTTTGTTTTAGGAAGGAAGTTAAATTGGGGATTATGGGAGTATGTTTATGATTATGGGATTACATTGTTGATAATACATACTGCATAATATTTATTGTATGGATTTTTGTAGGCACCTGGACTCCTGCATCAATGCTCTTTACATCAAGGACCACAACAGAAATTCTTTCACTTCATTGTGTTATCCTTGAGATTTTGTAGATGCCTCATTACATCTGAACTCACCTGTGTATAAAAACCACTGGAAAACATTGGAGGGCCAGTGGTTCAGGAGGTGGCAGCCGTGCAGGGGGACAACATACTGGTAACTGAGACTGACGTTTTTTTCATCAAAAGTGGGAAAAGGAGGGTGGCTCAGCTCCATCTGCATGATTTGCTTTCCTGGATGTTTTCAAAATCCACCCTGGGCTTTTTGCAGACCCAATTCCTTTCCCCGAAAGTTTCGATAAAAGATGCACCGCACTGAGAGCTTCTGTGGAAAGACTAGAATGAGAAGGTGATAAATTACCAGCAAACACAGCCTGTAAAACAAAAATGATCAAGTATGCATGAAATTTGTCACTCAACCAAAAAAAAAGAAACCTGTATATTGCCATTTACCACTCTAATGTCCCCGAAAAAACAACTTGAATTGATGCTGCGTTCATCGACTCTTGGCCACTAGGGGGCAGAAAAACTCCAAAACTAACCATTTACACATCCAGCAGACACTAATTAACACTTCATCATCCCATTAGAGTCCTGTCTTTGACAGCCTGAGGAATGTAAGTCCATTATTCACAGGGCTTTAAACTCTCTTTTTATCTTCTACCTTCAACTCCTGAGAAAGATATCTGAGCTTGTGCTTGTAAGATGACCAAGTTCTGTAAATTAATAAAAGCTATACAATCTGAGTGAAGATGTGATCTGAGTGATATTCAAATGAATACTTGAACTTAATGTTTGGCTCCTTGGTAGCAGTGAGAAAAGAAGAGAGCAGGTTAAATCTACAGGCTTCACGTTTTACACCCGTTCTCCTAGAAGTGACATACAGAATATGATAGAACTTCAATATATACAATTTTAACTTTCCATTAGAAAAATGACTGTTGAAGTGTGACTGAAAACAAAAATCTTTCACCCCTGCCCATAGTATAGTCTGCCTGATTTTTACCTGTTAAGGGAAAAGACATTTGATATGTTCAGGATTCCATAATGCATTTATTCCCCCCCAAACATTTAAAAATAGCATTTACTAAACATAAACAGACAAGACTGTGCATAGCTGCACTTCTGTACAACATTTTCATACTTTGACACCATAAATAAAAAAATCTATAAACATCGGTTAAGTAAAAATTCTGTCTCAAGATCCATTAAAGACGCACAAAAATAATAATTGTACAATTACTCTTTCTCCACTCATTAACATTTACATCCCAGTGAAAAGCTTTACAGCGAAGAGCACACATCCAAATCAAGAGTTCCCTAAATTTAGAGTTAGCCCACTGTACAGAAACAAAACAGCCAGCATGACACTGGAAAAACAAAATCAGGAGGAAATTTATAAAATGCAACACGTGTCCTACATGTTGTAATTTACTGATTTGACATCCTGTCGACCAGCAAGCAAGGCCTCCTTCCTATAGAGCATCAGCATCAATGGTTACACTCTTGCTTTTGGCAACATGAGGGAAGACATGAACAAGACAAAAAAAAAAAAAAAATCAAAATGCTAAAACATGAGCTGCAGCAGTAGACAGTGTGATTAACCACAAAAGGTTCATATGTAGCTTGTACTATTATTCCTTTCTCCCAATGTACTCTGGCTAAAAATGCATTGAAAAGATACTAGACCACCAGCTTTACTTCCTGCTACATCCAAAAGTCTAGATTCAACATTTTGGGGAAATGAGTGCAAACTCTGATACACAGATTACACATGAATATTACATTCCTAAACATGAAATGAAATTATTTGTCAATGTACAGCTGCTATTTTTTTTATGTTTTAGTAGAATTAACTCGCAGCTACACATTTTCCCGACATGAAAAGTTTAACCAAGTATGACTTGTCCAGGAGAGCTCGATATGTCACATTTCTGCTGCTTTGACATGCAGATGAAGTATTATTCTATGTCTTAATTACAAGACAATTTTAATTTGAGGTTAACTGTGTATTTAAGTAATTGTGATGATTAAAGGAGGCGAATGTTCCTCTTGACATCTACAAAACAGGTTTCTCACATGTGACTGTGTTTTAAATGTTTCCGGGGAACCAGTTGTAGAAAATTAGTTGAAGTCATGTATGCGCATCGTCTTGACTGATAGCTGGTGCTTAGTGTTTTGCACTATATCAGGACAGGTATTCAACACAGCAGTGTTTTTTCAGGCATTGGTATCTTCATATGACAGTGGTAGAAACAAGGAAGATGTTTAAGTTAAATGATAAATACATGCATGTCTCCGTCTCTCTCATGATATTTATTCCTCTTTTAGCAACTTTTCAGCTTCTAAATGCTCCACTGTCTGAGTAAATTAGTCTGCTGTTTAGGTTTATCCCAGCTGTTGTAGCTGGAGAGAGCAGCTACACTGAACTATACAGTAAATGTGACTGAAAAACAAAAATGTGCTCAAAGAGAGTATGAAGCTCTGTGGAGCTGAACAGTTGGGTGGTAGTTCTTCGATTTCAGCACTTGGAGCAAAAAACTTTCACAACATACAGTAATTTAATCCATAGTTTAGAAAATGTAATGAACAGTTAAAAAAAAAAAAAACTTAGCTGGAAACAAAAACATTGCAGCAGATAAATGCTGACCTTATGAAATGTATCATTTTAATTGATGCCGATATCGCCTGTGACGTTTTGATTCAACTCCTTTGTCATTTCTGAGGCTGTAATATGTGGTGCTGTATTGGACTGCATTATATTTCAAGGATATTTCTGCTTACATGTTTCCATTTAACACAGTCCAACAGCCTCAAAGTGCACATTTGTCAACACAGACAACTACAGCAGCAGTCTTAACAAAAAGAAAAAGAAATTTTTTTTGCGTAAGGTACAAATTATTCATTGCATCTGGGCTGTTAAAATTCACATTACATCATACAAGTGTTTCTACTTTTGTGGTCAATCAGTGTAATAACAGCCAACTTTACATATTTTTTTAAAAACAGGATGTTTGGTTACCTACCGAAGCGCTGATGGTTTCTCTCCCTTATGGAGAAAATCAGAGCATCTTTGAGTTCCCAAGAACCTACACTACGTAACTACAAACTATTTCAGAAGAAATAGTTTCCATTCAAAAAAGAGTAAACAGATAAGAATGTATACTAGTCTGTCTCTGGGAAGCCCAGAGTGCACCGCCCCCTCAGAGATCTATTCAGGATCATTTGGGGATTTTTCTCCACGTTAAATACTGTGACAGTGTTTTAAAATGATCGGAAAAGGCAAACATAGTACACTAAAAAAAGCCATAGTAATGCAATATAATTGCACAATTCCCTCACCCATGTCATCCAGAAACTACAGCTGAAACAAAAAAAGAGCTCACAGGCTACAAATGGCACTTTTACAAAAATTAAATGAATGTTGTCCCCCAAAATATACAACATTGATTTCAAATGCAGAGATAGTTAAACCACAAAAAAAGAACATGAAAACTTTATATTGCTGCAGTGTGATGCCTGGTGTGCATCAGAGATAACAGAAGCAGTCATGCTAGAAGAAAAACAAGTGACAGATGTTTCCTAAATGAAATAGTTCCTCAAGCAGTAAAAAGGCTTTCCAGAAATAAATGATTATCATTATCAACATGGTAATCAATAATGATAATCAAGCCTAAGGTCCAACTGAAATTACAGCTGAATCTTTAATTGCACAACCAAAACTCTGATTTCATGCATGTCTCAGTTTAAATCAAGTCTGTCCAGTGACTGTCTGACACCAATGTGACGATAATGTTTTAAATAAAAACAGCAGGACTATAAAGTCACTTGACAGATGGTCACAATTTGCATGACACATTTAGTTGTTTCATGATGTGCAAACTCGACACGGGCCTCTGTTTAAAAAAACATAAACATGATAGAGCAGCTTTGGTTCAGGCTGAAAAATCGCCTGACAGGAGAGAAAATCTCACTCTGCCTGAGAAGCTTTGCAGATCAATAAATACAAATAATCAATTAAAAAAAATACCATCCTTTGTTTTAAATTGATTCTTCAACTTGAAGCTATAACAGCAAAATAATTCATTTTAACATCTGTACTACATTTCACGTGGTTAGACTCCCTCAGGAAGATGAAACACAAGCATCCTCACAGTATGCAGCTGTTGTAGTCCATATTACAAGGATGCTTTGTTTTGGTAAATCCAAGTTTAAGCTAACTTTTTACATTTTACATTAATGCCCCATGATAAATGATAACAAATGATAATGTCTTTGTTACCTTGGGGAACAGGACAGATGTGAGGGAGGTCATTGACTCTAAGGGACAGAACCAGTCTCCCTCTTGGTTTTCAGGGAAATTTGTCTCAATTCAAAGACAAGAACACTTAGTGTGTTTTGTAAAGCCATCTCAGAAAAGAAAGTTTTCAACAGTGGCAGTTCAAAACACTTCCTGACAACAAGCCTGGCTGAAATTTTACTAATCTATTCATGAGTGACAAGTTTACAAGCATCAGCTTCGTGCAGATACAATGAATTCATGTTGAAATTTGGACATTTTTCTTCATCAGGCACTTGTACTTTTGAAGCATCCTTTAAAGCCGGTGCAGATACTGTGTTGCAGCAAATTTTCAGCATGTTAGCATTTGCTAATCAGAACTAAACATAGTAGAGCTGAGGCTGAGGGAGGGAATGTCATTAGTTTTGCAGGATTTCAGTATACTATAGGACGGCAGACACTAGTATTGAAAGTATTGAAATTTTCAACTGATGGTTACAACATGAAAAGTCAGGGGAGAATCAAAGTCAGTGGGATTCACCCTCTGAGGATCATGACATTTCAGAGATATTTCAGCCTGGACCAACGTGCTAAACTGACTGACATTGCTCCATTGAGTCATTAATAGCTCAAAACGCCTCGTGAAAGTCTGATCAAATTATTGACCACAGATTTCCCAACATTTTTCTAGGTGAGTGTCACCTAAAATCCTCCACTGTCCACAAACAAATTCCATCTGCCTCAAGCTTCTGAATAGTGGAAGACAATTTATTCACCGAGGACAATTTAAACAATTAGTTTCTCCTCACATCATGACAAATGCCTCATGAAAAAAAATGACAATGCTAAACATGAAATGCCTAAAAGCAAAAATGTTAAGCCCTTCCACTGAACTGTGTTTGTTACAAAATGTAACGTGACAGACTCTTGTTTGGGTGCATGTTTCCAGTAAATAATTACAGCTGACATCCTTTCCTCTGAAAGTGAAGAAAATACAATGCAACGATGTATGGCTGGTTGTGAAAACAAAACTCAAACATTTCCAAACAGTGAGGTGTAAATCACTGATCAACTACCTTTCAAATGTCCACCTGCTGTGGCATTTCTCTGTCTGGATAACATGGCTTGATCCTTCACCAAAATGCCTGATATGAGTTTTGTTTTCTCCCCAACTATCCCATACAGTCTGTACCAAAGTAATAAATAAGCAATGACATACGGCGAAGCTGTCAGAAAGTGAAGTTTAGACAGGGAGGGACGTGGGAGAGATCACGTCACTGGTCGATCATGACCGCCTCATTCTTCCTATCAAACCATACAGCACTTGCCTTCAGTCTCGAGTGTGAAGTGGAGCGGAGAAGACCCGCTGCTGGGGGGTGGGGGGGTGGGGGGCGGTAACAGTAATGTCTATGACAGCGACCCAGAGCGAGGACAGACTCCTCCTTTACACCACATACTGGTGGTTGCTGCTGTAGTTTGTCGTGTAGGCCTGCCGGCTGTACTGGAAGTGGTCGGTCAGTACGTTGTTCCAGCTGTGCTGCTGCTGCTGCTGCTGCTCTGAGCCATGGGAGAAAGGCACTGACCCGTTGGCCTGGATCTTCTCCAGCGCCGGGTTGTCAAAGGACATCAGGTCCTGCTTGGAACTCGGCAGCAGCTTCTTCTGCTTGTTAGCGTCATACTTGGCCTGTTAGCAGAGGAGAGGGGCAAATGGATTTTAAATGACTGGGTGTCTTAGGACGTTGGCCACCTGGCACTGCACTGCGGCTGCCCACTGATCCTTAATAGCTTGGGTGGGTCAATGCAGAGAATGAATTTCTCCAAGAGGATAAATAATGTGTAATGCCAATATTTTTCTTAAAGTCAATGGTAAACAGCCACAAGTTGGATAGAGTGTGAGTGATATGGAAAGATACTTTTAGGCAGTGAGCCCGGCAGTATGCAGTTTAGGAAAACTAACGGCTACAAATAGAGCAAAGTGCTGGTAAAGAAGATGATCACAGTACAACAGACTCAGCATGGAGCACGTCTGTGCTTTTGAGTTTAAGAAGAATGTTTATGATTGATTTTAGATTCAGAGGTTCCATTGGCAACCTTTTGTTAAAGAAATGATTGTTAAATAATCAATTAAATAATCCATATGTTTTATTCGTTGGTTTGTTTATTTTGCATGTTTGTTAACTTGTCCTGTCGGACTTGAAGATCTGTGCACTTCTTCCTCCATACCCGCCTGACCTGCTAACACCCAATGGTTGGGGGGGACTCACCTTGTTGTAGAGGAAGACCCCAACTATGGCCGTCATCATACCCAAGACGTTGGTGAGGGTGACTGGGTTGCGCAGCATCAGCAGTGAGATGCTGATGACCATGATCCTCTTGGTGGCATTGGCGACGGCGTAGCTGAGCGGGCTGACGAGGTTGAGCACGCTGAAGGCGATGACGTTCTGGGCAAAGTTGCAAAAGCCACTGATGAGCAGGAGGACAAAGGTACCAGACCACCCCGACACATCTGACTGGGAAAAGAAACAAAAATGGAGCAGGTAGTGTTTAGGTAATGTTCACCGTTTTAAATTAAGCCAAAATGCTGCCAAATGCTTTTGAATTTGGGCTGTTAGTCAGACGAAAGGAACAAATTGAAGACACTGGGTTCTGGGAAATTTTCATGGACATTTTTCAACTTTTTTTGACATTTCGTAGATTAAATTATTAACCTGAAATAATCAACGGTTGAAAACAAGCCCTAATAATTGCCGCAGGTCTTACTGTTTGAGATGTCTATCCACACATTCTGTCAGATAACTGCGGCACAAAATTGTGAAGCGTTGAATAAGCTTTGAAACGACTAGCTGAAATTGTTCGGTCACTGAGCGCTACAGAAAATTGCTGAAGTTCGTCAAGGAGTTTATAGTGTGGGGCACACAGGAGCCTCTTAAACTTTCAAGCAGATGCATTTAATTATGGCATTGTGTAATTATTTATGAGCTATTTATTTTGGCTGCTAAATTCTAAAACTCATAATAAAACATTATTTCTTGCTATTATTTTGATGGAGCAACATGATCATTTCTAGTCAGGAAACATGTATAAATGATGATACAAATGTCAGACTGCATTCAAGAGCTCTTATTGCAACTCACCAGGTCTCCATTCACGAGAAACACAGAGAGATCCACCAGAACCCAGGTGGGCAGCATGAAGATCACTGCATTAAAGCCCAGGATGTTGAGGAGCCTCAGGTGGTGAATCCGCGTGTCACGCAATACCTTTGATTAAAGAAATTGATTAAAAAAAAAAATAAAAAGGGGGTAGTGGAAAAATGACTTGAGTTGCGACTGCACCAGCACAGGTGATGTGGAGATGATAGACAGTCTTGGGTGTCTCCCTGTTTTGAAACTTTCTGTTGTCAACTACACATTTAATTTTAACCCCTCCGCCTGCCCCTTTAAAAACAGACACAGTCCATCCCTGGAAACCTAAAAAAATCTGGTGCCAGGAATGTTATATTAAACCAGGACACTTTATTGTTAAGTTGCAATGGCTGCTGAAAGCTGGATTTTCACTTCGATGCTGCCCAGAGAATATGATCATTGAACAACTTGGGAGTTTTAACCGTCTTAAGGAAGAGTTGTAAAAAAAGAAGGCTCTATGAAATGCAGCCACCATCTTGTGGCTAAAGAGAGAACAGCAGCGAACCACCTGAATTCAGCAGTTATAGGTTAGATTCTCCCTCCAGTCCCCCTCAAGCATTAATCTTAAAATTAGCTTGTAAAACTGAATATGGCAGTAAAATTTGAGAGTACTTTAACAGCATCTAAAATTGGTCACTAACTGACCAACACCCACGTCCAATTACTCAATTACCGACTGCCTGAAACCTGCACATGCTGTGAGAGTAACCACGTGACTAGCATGCGACTTATCTTATATGCCACATACAAGCCATGAAGATGTCTTGAAAATCTTAGGTCAGTCTTGTAAGTATGAACTGTCCATGTTGTAAAGCCACTCAGATAAATGCAATACAAGTAAAAGAAAGAGATGATTGATATGGATGATTTCTCTGGATGATAGAATCAAACTCATCGCAAGAAGCAGAAAAGTGACAAAAAATATTGTTGATGTAAATAAATTTGATCTAAACCGTTTCGAAACGTACATACAAGGACAATAATTAGTCATGAACGTAACAACCTGGTACACAAAGTCAAAGCTGAAAGGAAAAAAACAAGATCGACAAACAGGAGGAAAAGGAAAAAACGATCAATTATCATTTGCAGCCCACTTTTGAGATTACAGCAGATTTTCCTCTTGTGAAATTCAGTTGCCCCTCATGACTTTTTCGACACAGAACCACTTCTCCTCTCTGAATGCATTTCTCTCTCTCACACACACACACACACACAACACACCACAAACCAGGATGTCAGTTTCAGGCGTTTCACATCTTACCACTGAGAATTTTTTCCCCAATTACACCCCTCCCACCACCCTCCTTGGCGCAGGGATAAAGTGGCACATATCAGCATGGGGGTGATTTACCTTTTTGGAGAAGATGTTCTGCAGAGAGAAGCAGAGCGTGGCAGCCAGAGCACTGATTAATCCTGAAACATCAAAGGACAGCTCAGTCACTGTGGCCAGCAGCACTCCACCAATGATGGGGATGAGCGATACGTAGACCTACAACAAGGACGACACAGACAGAGGCAAAAGAGAAACAACACGTTAGTAGTTTGTATCAAGCGCAAGAGAGAACTAAAATTTCATCTGCTGCTGTTTCCCAACCTGCAAACCAACCCTGAAGTCATTACACTAAAATGCAACAAATTGACAGAAAAATAATTGGCAATTATCATGATGTGAGTGTTTTTGTTTGTTGAAGTCAAAGCAAAAATTGAAACATTCCCGGGTTGCAGCTTTTCATTATATAGGTTTAGCTGCTTTTCTGTGTTTTGTGTCACAGTAAAATGAACATCTTTGGACTTTGGCAAAACACAGTCTAAACCTGCAATTTGAAGATGCCACCAAGGGTTTTGGGAAATTGTGATGAACATTTTCAAGTTTTTTTTTAATAATTTTACACACAAACATTTAAGAAAATAATATGCAAATTAATCAATAATACGCCTCAATATATTGAGTTTGTCGTCATGTATAATAAATAAGGCATCAAACCGTTGTATCTGAGAAGCTGTTTGGTCATTTTGCTTGGAAAAATGACTTGATTACAAAATCAATTCCAAATTAATTTGTTATCAACTGCCTAATGGACTCACTGTTGCAGCTATAGTCATTAATTACAATATTAATATATACTACTCTAGAGGCTGCAGCCGGACCTACTCACCTACTACTAGCTAACCTACTAAGAATGAAAGTGTCATAACATCTACAGAAACATTGATTTGCATATTGAAAATGTTGGACCATGAGAAATGATACAGACATGCAGTTGTTGTGAAACCCACTTGAGCACCCACACACTAATTCTCTCAATCAACCCCTCACTGTGAAACTGAGAAAACACTGCACTGAACACCTACTGGCTATTTGCACCAATTACTGTCATCAGACGGCCCACAGTTCTTTATTGTCCAAACAAGCTGTCTCATACAAGTACAAGGTACAGAGACATGAACAATGGTATGACAAGAACCAGGATCTCAGTAGTAAAATAAGAGTAGCTAAAACAAGCTATAAAAGAGCAGTAAAAAAGGAGACTGCTCACTTGTTTAGTCAGAAATTGGTCCTCATACAAAAAAACAAAACAAGTATTTTTCATCTTTGCAGTCAGACGTGCGGACTTTACTGGCTCTAAACCAAACCTGCAGACTGGCCCTTTAAAGCAGCTGTCTTTTTTTGGTTGATGATTACACAGTCAGGATGCGCTAATAGGAAGCAGAGCAGCTTCAGGTAACAAGGTATTAACTATTTAAACATGACTCAGGTTGAAAAGTTAACAATATTATCGTCTTTATACACACAAAACAGTTTGCTATGTCCTGCATGTGCCAAAATAATTGTTCTTCACAAGTACACTAAAGGTAAGCGCTAGTTCTTTTTTGTAACTCTGAACATTAAGAGAGGCATCATCTATTTTGGCAGAGGCCTAGATTTCTGTCCCATTTCAGGTGTCCTGAATTATTTTGAAAATTCATCCTGAAGGCTTTCTGTGCTCAAAAGGAAAAGATGCAAGACTACAGAAACACATTTGAGGAGGGAACAGTTTAGTCAATTTGCACTATGTTCTTTTAAGATACACACTCAGTGTCCATATTATCACATACACCTGTACAGTCTAATGCAATCCGAGGCAACTGTTCTGCCATAAAGTTTACTTTTACCTATAATGTTCAGTTATTGTCGACACTGTAATAGAGGCGTTAACTAAATTATGTTTTAGCACTGAAGTCATAGTTAGTGGTGGTGTTGTACTGGACTGCATTATACAACAATTAATCAATTAATCAACTAGTTGATTGAAAGAAGATTAATCAACTGACGATTGATTAATCGGCTCAGTCAAAAATGCTTAACATTCAAATGTGAGAATCTGTTGGTTTTGTTTGACATATATGAACAATATGTGTTTGTACAAATCAAGCAAATCGAAGACATCAGTGTAGTCTCAGGAACTGCAAATAACACTATTTCTTAGCATCTAACAGAATGAACAACTAACCAAGAAAACAATCAACAGATTCACTGATAATGAAAATAATCGTTATTTATAGCTCGACATTATATTGAGAGGTATTTCAAATTTTCTGCTTCCCTAATGTCTGTGAATGGAAAGGACAACAAAAATTAGAATCACCATTCAATATAATATAGTCCAGTACGAAACCACCACTGTGTATAACCAATACACATAAAATCTAATTTACATATTTCTGACAATGTCAACAGAAACAGAGATTTGAAAAGACAGATTTTATGGCAGGGCTGTTGTATTAGACTGCATGAGGTTGTACCTTATAAAGTAGACACTGAGTGTATTTTGTACAGTCTGTGATGTTGGGAATTTATTTCAAAGTCACTTTTGAACAAAGTTGAGTCAAGTATAAACACTGAACTGAACTGTATTATTTTCACAAGGTACTTATTCAGTCTACAAGATGTTCCAATGTGTTATTGATACAACGTCAGGTTTCTCAGCACAGTACAGCGTAGCCTGCTACTCCTCAAACAGGATCTCTGCACATTAAGTAACACGTCATCAACACCTACGTTCCCTGTCTGTGGACGCAGCCTGTCTGAACACTGAACTGTTGGCTGGAAAGTAAACATGACAAGCTGATGTTAGACTCAAGAAGTCCTCTCATTCACATTTGGCAAACCTTGACTGTAAAATGTTCCACCGTTGGGAGGGAATATGAAGCTGAATCCCAGAGATGTCAAAACCTGTTACCACTGCCACAATCAAACTTCTGGGCCTCCGATCCTTATTCTTTAATTCCAGGAAGAGGCAGATAGTGAATCCTGGTCTGATTATAGATAATAGATCTTCAAAGTGAATATTACTAAAGGTAGAACTACATTATAGTTAGTAAAGCCAATACAATTTAACAGTTTGACAGAAGCTGTGCATGAAGAAAATACGGTCATACTTCCCCTGTGATGATATTTTTCTGTAATGATCAGTGTTCTATGGTGTTTTCTATAATAGCTACGAAAGGAGTGTCAAGGAGTGTCAATTTAGACTTTGTCACATTCAATGTCATATTTGTAGTTAAGCAATACTGCACATTGTTACCACACCCTGAGGCCAAGAAAATTAATTGACGACTTTGATAATTGATCTTTTGTTCAAGTCGTTTTCTAAACACAAAGTCTAAATATTTGTTTCTTCCAGCTTCTCAATTAAGAATATTTGTTGGTTGGTTGTCTTGGCCTTCTATGGTATTATGCTGAATATTTTTGGATTTTGGAGTAATGGTCAAATTACATGAGTCATCTGAAGACATCACCCGGGGCTCTGGAAAATTGTGGTGGACATTTCTCACAATTTTCTCCATTTTATAGACCAATCAATCAGTTAACAAGAGAAAACAATCAGCAGGTTAAGTTCTATTGAAAATAACATTTACTAGCAGCTCTAGATGATTCATTAACATAATTTTACTACTGTAAATTTTGAGTGGATTTGTATATAGTAATATTATCACACAATTTGACAAACTAACCCTAACGCTAACCCTGAAACAAAAGGACTTGAACTGAAGTTTAGTTTTATTCATGAAGACGTTCTGCCTGATTCCGTCATAACGTAGTGTTGCAGTGGGATAGACTCCAGGATATACTTAACTACTGTGATTGAAGTTGACCTACCAGTCCATCTACTGTAAATCCTTCCCACAGTTTTTCCTAAAACTCATGGGCTGATATCAAAGTATATCAGGTGACTTGTCCTCCAAAACCATGACACCGCTGAGCCAGAAAATGGGAGACAACGCTTCTTCTAGTTTTCATATAACTCTGCCCTCTAGTCTGGAAGTGTTCAACCACCTGCATGCTGCATTCCTTGATACTATGCATGATGGAAAACAGGCATGCATAAACACAAACTAAGCTGGCTCCTGATATAAAAAGTAGTGAGTGAATCTTGGGATTTTTTAATGTGAATGTTGCCAGTTTGTGGAAATAAAAGTTAGTTTCCCTCCCTGACCTCCACACTCCCACCGAGCGCCTCATCGGCTTCAGGGACAAAAGCCCCTGCAGATGGCCGTAATATGAGATGCAGTACAGGCGCAGTACTGTGCCACATCACCACTGCTGAGTCTCGAACACATGAGAAACAGGCTGAAACAGAGCAGGCCTTGTGCCTTGTTTACTGTGTCGAACCTACTCACCTTCGTGGTTTGCTTTTCTCTCATGATAATTCTTGATAACAGCACCACCCATATTGGCATTGTGGCTTTGACTGTGAAAGAAACAGATAAGAAAATATGGTAATGTCAGTTTGTTTTCTTTTTTTCTCGACAATCATGCAATAGCAACTATCAGCAGCAAATGGAGCTTAAAAGATGGAAGTTTGGACTACAATGCTCCTACGTCAGAGCCGAACCCACACCTCTGTCAAACTTGTCTCACTCTGATTGTCACGCCTCTGTTGTGTTGCACCATATATTCTCTTACCTACTATTACACTAAGTTTACTCTGGCGTGTCACTAACAATGACAGTTTTACTCAGCAAACACCTTGGTTATGCATTCAAATGACACATATTTTAAGAGTGCAACTATTTTTTTTTTTTTTAAGCTTAGAGTGGCTAAACCGGATCCAGTAATGTTGAAAACTCCTATCCACCTCAACCCTTATAACCTTCATGAAGTTACAATTTATTGCAGGACTCTTGTATTAGACTGGAAATTGCTTTCTAGTTCCAGAACCTGTTCTCATGGAAACTGTCATCTTTAATGACAGAAGTCCAGCAATGGCTCTAAAATTGGGTCGAAGGACCATCATGGGTCTTTAAAGTGATCCAACTGAGGTCTAAACATGAGAGGAATAGTTTCTGACATGATTTGAAGTTAAGACAGACTCTTGGAAGTTAACTGTTTTTCCCAGGTTCCCCTATGCACCCAGGTTATTAGGAACATCTCGTTAAAGCTAGCACGGTCTACAGTAATAGCCCTAAAATAAATCCTGCCAGTTGCTAAATCTGACATCTTGGAAGTGGTTCAGAGGAAGTAACACGGGAATCAAAATTAATGTATGCACAAAGATAAAGCTAACTCTGATTGTATGTTACTTTGACTGAGATCTGAGTACTTCTACCACTGAGCATTGAACATCATGTAAGACATGCAGCGAGTTAGGTTATTAAATTCCGCAGCAGGTAACCTAATATAATTTCACGTGGTTTCTTAAGGAGAAAAATCAATTACATTAAGAGGTGGTAAGTCTGAGATGAAAGTTAGAAGTGCACACTGCAACAACACAGAACAGGTTCAGTAATGGACCCTCCCCCCTGACGTACTATATCAGCGTTAATTAAGTTGGCTAGCTAGCTTACAGCAGCCGGTCTGTTACTCTCGAGGGAGTTTAAAACGGACTAATTTGAAGCTAGTTAGGGGACCAGTGTTGAGTTAATTAGGCTGCCTGATCACAGTCTATACAACGTCAACATTACCCGGGGCCCACAAGCGAGTAAACTGTCGGTGTCGCCGAGTTGTGCGCCGTTAGCCGCGAAGCTAACATCAGCTGACGGCAGACACATCACCGAGTTACCGTGGCGGACACGCTTCGGGTGGCCTCACTCAAAAAAGCTAGCGCAAATCCGTTGTACTCACCCGTGTGCGCATATGAAACCGGAACTTTCCATATGCTGAAGTGAGCCGACACAGATGCAAAGTATTTTCCAAAAGCTAAAGGCAAGATGTACCACCGGTAGTACCTGCCGGGCAGTTCTGTTTTGGGGACCCCCCATGCCCGCAACAGCGGCGGAAGGAAGACGACGATAGAGATGATGTGAAACAGAGATACGGTGACCGGGTACGGGAATCCGTTCAGGATGATTTTATTGACGATGTTGCCCCCCGAGCTGACCGTGTACCAGCACACACACAGTGAAACTATTCGGATCCCTTCCCTGACCGGGGTCCGCTCCACCGCAGCCATCTTCCAGCGCGGAGTGACGAGTCACCGGTAGTGTGTGTATGTGGCTTCGCCGGGGGAGGGCAGCGCTTCTCGTTAGTCAAACTACCGACAACGACTGAAACGCACAGCTTCCGGTCCGTGGCTTCAAAATAAAAGATACTCACGGACATGCGTTTATAAAATGGAACTGCTGTAAACTACTCTTAAAATGGTAGACTTTGGAGTTTGAATTTCAAACTAAATTTTCACAACTTTTTCACAATACTATACTAATCATAAATAAATACATAAAATACACTACCATGAAAGAGAGAAATAACCTAATGCATATCTAAAATAAGTATATAGATACACATTGTATACATATTTTTGCATTTTTATTTAAATATAACAACTTTTTCCAAAGTCTGTTTAAATTTCACAAGCCAGACAAGGTCAAAGGCAGCTGTGCGATTGGCTGCGCAGCTTCTGTCTGAAAGAGATAAAATGGGGATTGTAAACTTTGCATCGCCACTCACGTGCCCGGGTGTAACTACAGAATTGATTAAATTTTCATACTTTGTCTAAGAAAACCCTTTAAGAATGCATTTAAATAAAGAATATATGTTTAGTATAAGTTAACTATTTTGTATATAAAATGCCCATAACAATTTCCTCAATGTCAATCAAATTTCCCATTTAGTCTGACAAAACCAAAAACTAAAAAGTATTCAGTTTATCACATAAGACAAAAAAGCAGCAAACCTCAAAACTGAGAAGTTCTGACTGGGACACGTTTGTCATTTTTGAAGCAAAAAATGTTACCCTTTTATTTTTCTGTTGAACAAATGGATCAAATCAACGCCAACTGCATTTACAGAGGAGAAATTGTAACAAAGAACTATGGGTATCCTGGGAATTGATTAAAATTCAACTGAGGGTGACGTGCATGCACATCCAGCCTAAAGAAAAGACAAGCAATCACAGTTCCTTAATTTTTTTATTAACACATATCAACATGTCCACTTAAAAGGACTAAGTAGCAAATATGTTCTCTTCTGCATTCAACTGAACACAAAAGGCTAATTTCTGTACATTCACTAAGGCTCCGTCTTTAGGGAAAACACAGGTTTCCATAAGGCAAACAATATCTAAAGGAATGATATTAAGTACTTTATCCAGCATGTCAATTTATATTTCAGTTCTTCCTGACAGTACAAAGATGCAAGCTAGTGGCGTAATCTCTCTGCCATTTCAATTCATATTTTACAACCTAAATACACAGTAAAGGGAAAAGGCAAGTATAAAATAAAGTTAGTTCACGTTATCAAAATGTGTCATTTTAGAGCATTTCCCTGTGTAAGATAGGTTGGTGTATCAGCAGGGAAAGTCTGGACTGCCACTGCTGCGTCACTGAACCGATTCTGAGTAAAGAAAACGATTATTCAGTGTAGGCTGAACATGTATATAAATCTCAAAATGAATATGTGGATGTAAATAAATATCATACATGACAGCCACATTTTTTTAATCAGCTTATATCGTTCTAGCCCATTACAAGCCTTTCTTTTCTGCACAGTCACATCTGGCAGTTTCGTGTCACTTTATTTAACAGTATTTAAAACGCAAAAAAAAAAAAAATTATAATAAATTCCAATGTTTTAAGACTGATTTGTCAGTTATTCATTCTGCTAAAAGTCGCAGCATAAGACAGTCGTGCAATGGGGGAAAAATGGTTCTAAAAGCTGCAGTGAGAAATATTTTTCACAGCAACAACAGTTAATACTTATGGTAATGATAGCTACTTGAATATAGCATTCATTTCAGCTTTTACAGCTAAAAAGCCTTGTTCAAGACACGACCAATGCCAACAAAAAACCACTGGTAAATTTATCTCTCAAATGTATGTTCCAATTATATATCCCACTAGGTCACAGATTTTTTTAAAACATAAAATTGAACTAAACTTGAAATGAAAAAATACTGCACTGTGAACTAAATATGATAAGAAGCAGAAAATTCTGTCACATTCCGCAAGGCGTGTCGATAACATAAGATGAATAAATTGTGGCTGTGCAGTTTAATGTGATGTTTCTCTACAGTACAAAGAAGGGCAGGTATTGGAATCTCAATCTTTACAGTTACTGAACACCAACAACTACATGGGCAGATAATGCATAGCCTTTTCCCTTCGTGCTGTCCTCACACAATGTTCACAAACTCATAAAAACACTGATTACACACCCTGTGCTCCAACACACACCCGAGCAGGCAGCATATTTATTCCATTTTCACTAACAGTGCAAAACAGCAGCTTACACTTACAGAAGTGCCTTCACACATGTACGATGAAGGCAGCTTACACCTTCCAATTCAGAAACCTGACCTCTGTTTCAGTCCAGACAGACGTATGGCAGTATGTTCAGCCTGCTTTCATCTCCATGTGGGTCCAAGGAGATGCACTCCGTCCAGTCATACCAGTTACCCTTTGTGTCATAGCAGCCATTAACTCCGGACCAGTGTTGTGCATGTAATCTGCTGAGGTCTTCGTTGTTGACCTCTCTGCTAACCCCTGGTAAATCCTTGGCTGATCGTTCTGGTGCCAACACGTGTGTTTCCTTGGTGTCTTTACTTTGGTGTTCCTCTTTCTTCAAGAACTCAGTCATGAAAAAATGTGCACCCGGGGTGTGGGCGCCTGATGATGTCAGCACATTGCTTTGCTGGCTAAGGTACGACTGGATGATTTCGCTCCTCGACAGCTCTTTCCAGTCTGTCTGCTGGAAGGGACTGGGAGGGACAGATGGATTCTGCTTCGGCTGTTCTGACCACTGAGGTTCAGGTCTGTGCCCCAGTCTGACCTCCCCCTCCTGGCAAGACTCCTTATGGAAGGAGGTTTTGATCTGCCCTGTTACAGGGTCAAATGTCAGCCTCCTATCTTTTAACCTGACTGGTTTAGTGCTATCAACTACAGTCTGTCCATCTAAATTCACCACATAGTCTTTAGGCCTGTATTTCTGTCTTTTCCTTTTCCCTGTATTGCCAACAGCACCATCATCTTCCAAACTGACCCCGTCACTGCAGGGGGAGGCAGTTGAATTGTGAAGAGACGTATTGGGAGGCCTGCTTTGAGAGTCTAAATCTGCAGACCCCAACCCGTCAGTGTGCAAACCCTGAACACAGACATTTAAAGCCTGAGGAGAAGGCCCCAGCCCAGAGGTGTCCACAGACCCAGGCCTCAGAGTGGGGCTAGAAAGACGAGGCTCACTCTGTGCTTGGGTTGCAGTTTGTTTGACAACAGCTTCCTGCTTTGGAGTTTGAGGACTCTGCAAGGAACAGCGAGGGGTTCTGGGTCGATACTGCCCTCCAGAGGCAGCTAGCTCCTGTCTGGCTTGCTGCTGCAGAACGGATGCTTTTAGCAAAGAAGAAGTGCTAAGAGGCTGGCTGTATACCGGGGCACTTGGATGAGGTTTAACAGCATTGACAGGGATTTTATTTAGCCTGTCATTGTCCAAAGGCTCAGAAATCTCCCTGTCTGAAGGCTGATGTGCATGAGAATCTGTAAAAATTTCAGAGCTACTGCCAATTCCATTGGTTGGCAGCTGTTTTGAGTTTTGTATTTTATCATTAAGAGTTGTTTTGGATATCTTGGTTGGCAAGAGCTGTCCTTCCCTCTGGTTAGCCTTACGTTTCCTGTTGCCTGGTTTTTCCACCCTTGGAGAGTAGCAGTTGTTGAAGTCATTTCTGTTCTTCAACTCTGGACCTGTTTTACCTGATGGTGTGGTGGCAGCTGGAGTGGAGATGCAGGGATGAGCACCACCATTGGAAGACCATGATGCACCAGTGTGTCCTTTGGACAACACCTCATCCTTCCCTGGCTCAATTAGCTTCTGCCAGTTTCGCAGAAGCTTCTTGGCTCTTTTTGCAAGGTCCTCATTCTTGGTTTTCTTCCGAACATCGTTGATGAGCTTGCCAAGACGGGTTTCCTTCAAGGAGACAAGATTGGTGTTAAACACTGGCTGTGACTTGATTCCTGAAAAACCAGATTCAGCTGAATTTTATTTCTGAATGCACATATTGTTGGTGTGCATGTAACCTACCTCCAGTGCCTCTTTGGTGATGGGATATTTCTCCAAAAAAGAGATCACCTCCACAACTACCACCATGTTGCATATCTGCTGAAAAGACACATGCCTTTATATAACACAATCCTGTAACAGTATAGTGTTGCAACAGCATCCAAGTACATCTATTTGTATGTCGATGTCTATTTGTATGTCGATGTTACAGTTTGTGATTCCACATATATATATATATATATATATATATATATATATGTGGACACTTGTGATGAAGATATGTAATGAAATGAAGATATGTAATGAAAGCAAGACATTTTACAGTTAAACAATAAACTTTGTCCAAAATGACATCAGCACACTGAATTGGTAAAAGCCATTGGGAATTAGATAAAATAAATATGAAAATAAATAACTATAAATAAAAAACATAAGAACAAATATGTATACATATATTATATATATTTAACTTGAACGAAAACAAAGGATCAAATATACATATATACCTATATAACTTAACCCAAGCATTTCCATTGCATTATTGCTTCTTAATAAAAGTATTCATATCAGCGCATATCGGAGAATATATGCGCCGAAACCGATATTTCTGATAGGCCAATATCGTCCAATACATTCAGCCGACCAATATATTATATATATATATATATATTATATATATATATAATATATATATATTTATATATATATATATATATATATATATATATATATATAGCCCCTTTAATAGCCCCTCTTTCTTTTGTATGTAAAACGTGCACATTAGGCCTATTGCCTATAGGACTATGTTGGAATAATATATATAGTGGTGTGTGTGTGTGTGTGTGTATGTATATGTATATTATGTATGTATGTGTTTTATATATAATATATATATATATATATATATATATTATATATACACAAACACATACATACATAATATATGTATATATATAATATACACAAACACATACATACATAATATACATATACATACACACACACACACACACTATATATATTATTCCAACATAGTCCTATAGGCAATAGGCCTAATGTGCACGTTTTACATACAAAAGAAAGAGGGGCTATTAAAAGGCCGGGGCCTAATTTGAATACACTTTCAAACTTGCACCTGTATGTCAAGAGACGATGTACTCATGCTGGTTTCAGGTTCAGTTTGACAAACTGAGACTGGAGACTGCATGCAAATACAACCATGTTAACCCACAAGGAGAATAAGTAAGATCTGCTAGCAAGATAGAAGAAACGTACTGTACATATCTGACTGTTCACTTTGATCTGGAGCACAGTATATATTGCAGAATTCACACCATACAATTCTTCAAGTTGGAAATACTATCTAACCTTAGTCAATAATGCTTGTGAGACAACCATGGTTGTTTTCACAGTAGAAAAGAACTGGAGCGGCATCCTACTAAAGTTTGACACTGTAATGTCACAGTGATGATAGGGTGTTGTCCAGTTTAATTGTACCACAGATTTTTACCAATCTTTGAGAAGTGCTGTTGTCATCAGCTGTATGGGGTAAGGGTTGAAATGTTATTTCAAAGTATATAAAGACTTGAGCTTCCTGAAACCCTCATTTAATCATTTAATCAACATCTGTCACTGAAGGACACTTACCTGCAGATTTACACTTCCTACCTGGTAGCTTAGTTTAAACTATAGTTCTGAGGCATTGTGCAATTCAGTGTGTACAAACTGCCAACTTGTCTTCATCAACATTAGCCAACAGCATTGTGTTAGCCAGGCTCCTGAATGCCTGGTATTAATTACTATCACTAACAAGAGAGGTTAGCCAGCTAATTAGCAAGCACATAATAACTCGCCCCACACCTCCACTTTATCACCCCTCTGCAGTGACATGAAGCGGCTTATTGTCCGTCTCTCTTCACCCAGTTCGTTCCTTGGAAACTACGGGACATACTCACATTGCTCTGGCCGTCGATGGCCTGTAGCAGCCGGTCTCTCATCACCTGCGGAGTGGCTGTAGCCGCTGTCATCGCCTGGCGGTGTCGTGGGTCGGTCAGGACGGACTCAAGACAGCAGGATCCCCCGAGGAGGCGAGGCGGCGGTGGGAAACCTGCCGACACTCACAGGCCCGACGGAAGATCTTCTGTGGGAGTGGGCGTCATGTCTTATCATGCTTTAAATCTAGTTTCGTTCGCTGTCCTCACGTATTCGTGAATTCAGACAACGAGTACAGAAAATCCTCTCCGGGAATTGGCTACCCCCCTCGGCTGGTAGCCTCCTCCTCCTCGGCCTTCTCATCGGGCTTTTTGTGAAGAGCCCGCGAAGAGCACGACGGGAGAATTTTACGCAACCACCGTCAATTTACGTCATCTCGCGTCTATATTATTGTTTGCCGTGATATGTTGAACAATAGTGTGATCTCTTATTAAAACCTACGTTTATTTTATTACATATGTATATAATATATATTTTATTTTACTTCAGAATCGGTTTTAATGGTCAAGTACGTTTGTGCACAGCTCACAGTATCAATAACAAAAGCATCCAGGGAGCTAAACGGACATACAGAAAAAACAGGGATAACAAAGCAGAACAAAGATAAATCAACACATGACTATTATATATAACCCAGTAGGCTAAAAATGAAGTGGTGCAAGGAATGGAAGAGTGTAAGTAATGTGCTGGAATAAACATAAAATTAACAAGTAATATATCATGTAATAAATTTATAAATAAAGAATCATCACCAAGTTTTATCTTTTAAGACACTTTTTTTTCAAAAGCTCTATGTGATGTGTTCTTTGATTTTTTTTTCTTTAACTTATACTGAGTTTTTCTTTTATGCCTATTCATTACAAATATTAACAAGACCCTTTTAAAGCCATTATGGCATCCTAAAATGTATCAATTGTACAGATTTGCAGGCAAATGATAAATCATTTGAGATATTTTTTAAGCAGAAATGAAAAAATACTGCTTACATGTAGTCAAATGTCAGAACCTGCCGTTTTTCTTGGTCGGACACTAGAGTAAATTAAATATTTTGGGTTTTGTACTGTTGCTTGGATAAAATAAGACATTTAATGATGTGTGCTTGTCTTCTAGGCCTTTTTCCAATGTCTGATAGACAAAATGATTAATCAAAAAATAACCAGCAGATTAGACAATAATGAAAATAATCGCTAGGTTATACAGGAGACTTCTTGAGGTTAAAAAAACCAAATCCAAATCTGCCTGTAGTTGTTTATGCTTAAATATTGAAATAAAGTTAAGTCTGATATAAAAGATGGTAAAATATGTTAATTTCTTGAAAATGAACTGCAACTGCTTTTAGGAAATGTATTTAATTTATTAGTCATGTCATTGCAAAGTCAGTATAGACAGTCACAACCATGCAAGTCAATTAACAGACAGAGGATAAGAAAATTGTATTTTTATTGTTAAGAATAAGGACACATTTACATTATATAGTGCATATACATTTACTTACAGCACATGTGCCCCAGAATAAAAGGAAAATATATATATATATATATATTTTTATCTGAGCTGCTGCACATCACACACTTAACAGGAGATAAGTAAAATTTGGAGATGTCTGTATCAGAAGGTGACAGACATCATTCTGACTTGTCTGTTGGATCCAGCTGAACTCTGACGGCCATGCAGGTAAAAGGAATAAAAGGATGTTTCAGCAAGATCATCTTGGTAAGTCAAAGGTTGAACACCAACTCTGATTACAGTCGCCATATGTGAGGTTATAGGACAGAGCAGGATCCTTAAATGATGACAGACAACTAACAAACCACAGAAACAAATTTTCCTATTCTGTTAGCAAAGGCTGCCCATCATTTTCAACCCTGGTGTTTCTTTAATAAATGAACCGACATGCTGAAGAAACCATCTTGTCTTCTACACTGAAGCACAAGGGCACATTTACGACACATATCCAGCAGAAGGCAGGGGCGGTGATATAGTTACAGCTTAAACAAAAAAGTGAAAAAATGTAACAACTTGTATTAGACAAAATAAATACAGCGATTCATAGATTCCTGAACAGCCAGATGCAGAATTAGAATTTGAGGTGGTAAAGAAAATGGAGCATAATTAAAAGAGTCAAAGGAACAGAAAATCCCATAAAGGAGAAGTTCAGAGCATCCATGTTGAAAAAGTGGGAGTCTGGTCATCACACATGTTGATCATGATCCAAACAATCTGTGAAGATTTAAGACATTCAACCACTTAGATAAGAAACAAGTTCATAGCACATTTTCGAGGACTTTTGTTTAAAAGGTTGAAAAAGCATAAGAGGGTGGACAATGGAAGAAAAGGGGGCTTCCAAAAGCCTCAGAAAACATTAACTTAATTGTTGCCTCATGTATGTCCCTGTGGTAAAAGACCCGTCAATCAATTTGAGAGTGATATCACCTTCTTTTATATTTGGATTTACCACGTGTCAAGTGTCACGTACACTAGTCAAAGGCAATTACATGTGTTTCTGGTGAAAAAGTATCACCAGAAATGATTTATAATCAAACAATCTTAAATGGGAGTTTACATTTCTGTCCCATGTTGTACATTCTACGACATCAAAAATTCAGCAGAGGGATTATTAGGTTATGTTAAGTTGTTTTTCATACTGTCAACAAGTCCCATATGAGCTACTTTCTGACTTCCTTATTCAGTCTGTGGCACACAACCCCAACTCCACTGGTTTCTACTGAAGATATAAATCTTGAAAAAATATATAGACAAATATATAGATTTATTTGTGTAAAGGTGCAGTATATTCCAAGAACAGCCGGACACTGTCATTTTTAGCAAACTTTACTCAAACAGGGGTCAACAGCCTATTTGTTGGGGACTACTTTCATCCATTAATAATAAACATTTGACCCTCTAGTGTGTGTCAAATGATGGTGTATGTGGGATTGACTCAAAATAAACTACAGTGCCAGTGAAGGAACATGTCACCTAGTGAATGAAATTGAGAGAGCAGCACGTTCACCATTACGTCTTTTTACAACTATTTTAAAGTACATGACCAGCATTGACTAACAGAGTCTTACTCACACAATCATGCAGAACATGATGAAGATGTTCCACAGAGCGATGAAGATCCGAAAGTATCGCAGGCTGAGCAGGAACTCTCTGATGTTGTCACCTGAAAGATGGACTAATCATTTTTGTGGCTGTACTTTTTAGATATCTGTGACACACACATTTTCTTAATTCTATTCTCATCTCTCTCTTTAACACTCATACACACCTGTTGTTGGTGCTCTGGACTCATCTCCAAATCCCTGGCCCTCCTTCCTTTTGCTGCAAAACATCCACAGTCAATCTCCTACTGTTCCATTTGTTCATTTTACTGCTGCTTTATTTAACAATGTGATATGATCTTCTATAGTTGTGACTGTGCTGCACGGCTCATGTGTCTGATATTACCATTTTACTAACTACTCAGTATCTTTCAACATTTTGTCAAGATCAACATAATTATCATATTTTATTGATGCCTTATTATTTCTGTTTTGGGTGTCTTCTGTTGGTTGCATGGCTACATGTTACGAATAATGGATATTGTTGCTATATTATTGTACTATTGTTTTGCTGTTTCCCTCTGGATGGTGTCTGCATTGTCTTGAGAATGCTTATTTTGTTTTTATTGCTGTCTTTATGGCATCCTGTTGTCTTGTGTACCATCACTTCATTGGTTTCAGAACATCTCACCAAAGAACTGCAACTGAAAATTAGCCAGGTCACTAACACATATATAGAGAGAAATTATAAATACATAAATAAAATAAAGGCCTGTTCTACATGTAAAGTTGAAAGCAGCAGTGGTTAACCCTCTGGAGTCAATGTAAAAAACTCTAAGCATGTTTTATTTACAAAGCATACATTTATTTGTTCATCATTTAGAGAGATGCTGGCGACACTAGTTCAAAGTGCTGATGTGGGGTTTTCACACGCCTCAACTCATTCATATCATCAACTTCTTTTAATTATTCATATTGTCAGTGACAATATAGGCATATACTGACTTTTAATCGAAGAGGCACAAAAACAAGTTGGGATAAAATCACTTAACATGTAAACAGACGATGTTATTATCTTATTATATTTTCATGCTGAATTTGCATGTTTATATAGCAAAACATTTTTTTTGTACAACATTGACCTGTTCTCTAATAATATTTAAGTAATTATCACTAAAGATTGTGGATTTTTACGTGTCTGTCTTTTTTCTAGCAATTTAGTTTCCTGGCAGCTTTATATTTCGTGTATATTTACAAAATGATAAGTCAAACGTTTAATTTTGGATGAAATACTCACAGCTTGAAATTCAGCACAGCCCCTGCATTCACCAGCAAGGTCCTGGAGAGCACAGAGAGACAAAGTGGTCAGACAGGTGAGATTATTTACCTGCAGAGCTAACGTTAGCTGCTGAGCTGGCATTAGCACTGAGCTAGTTAGCTTGTTACACCGCCATCTAACTGGCACCGCCGTGTACAAAAACACACACGGAAAACATTTCAGTAAAATAAAAAAACGTGTCTCTACGTAAACACATGGCAGACATTGAATAAATTACCCGAATATCAACAGATCTGCGATCATCTTGCTCTCATCACATCACAGAGATTTCTCACTTCCGTCTTCATCTACGCAATCAAAAATGTGACCAATGAAGTTTCAGTGCCCAGACGAGAGCTATCATAAGTTTTAATACCCTGAATTTGCCTGTCAGGCAGGTCTCTAACTATCACTTCCTTACGATTTGTTTCAGTAGTTATGGGTGGTAAAGGCTTAAACTGTGGGTAGGGGGCATTGTAGGAAGAGGGGGGGGGGGGGGGGGATTGAATGGATGTTATAAGAATATTTGGTATAACGACTACGACGTTCTACCTGAAAGACTAAATTTAGGGACGTAAATCCCACCAACTGAGTTTCAGCAGGCTAGATTTAAGAGGCAACACCAGCAGAAATATCCTGCTTTGGAGATCCTATTCTTAGAAACGAGCGCCATCTACAGCTAAGAAAGGTAATCGCAGGGTCATTTCTTTTTCTTCAACGTTGAAAAATTAAAATTTTAAAGAACTTAGATAACTACTTTTTAAATAGACAGGGAGTCAATGTAGCTTAAAATAACAAGAAATTCTATTGTGACATCTATGACTGTGTAATCTAATATTTTACTGCCAACTCTGCTGCCCCCATCCATATACAACAGAGGAGGAAAAATGTTCAGACCCACCACTGAGGCGTCGCGGAGGTCGTTTGTGGGTGGGTCAGAGTT